AAGTTTTTTCAGGATGGGAAGGGACAAATGTCCATCCTTCTCCAAGATAGGCATTGACCAATTCCAAAATTTTGGTTAAATGGGCATGGATTGGTTCAATAGCAAATATGTTTACGATTGGGTTTTTGTTGAAGTATTCAGTCAATGGGCCTTTGGGTCGTGGACCAGATCGATAGAATGGATCAACAAGAAGACTAGTGGTTGGTGGCACTTGCTGGGCCATTTGGGAAAAGGTTTTGGGGTTTACTAAGGTAGGCTGAATAGGGCGACTTAATGGGCCGACTGGTCTACCTAGGGGTGTAAACCGGTTAGCAATGGTCAAGGCACTAGAAGGGCCCGGAGCACTGATAATGGGCTTAGGTAGCAATGCCAGAGAAGGTGGGTCTTCTTCCTTCTTTATTGAGGCGATTGCTTGAGACAGAATTTGGTTAACTGTTGGTTTATTCCTGCTTGTTCCCCCCTGCTTTTTGGAGGAAGACGAGGGTTTATTAGGTTTGTTGTCCGCCATTGGGTTCCTGCAAAAATTCACGAGTTAGGAAATCAGGGATGCAGTTATTACTGCCCTTAATATATTCGATGTCAAAATCAAAAATACTCAAAATAGATTGCCATCTGGCGAAAATTTGCTTACTAGCAATATTTTGAACATCTTTTTGTAAAACATCTTTTGCAGATTTACAATCTACACGGATGAGAAATTTCTGGTTTAGTATATCATCCTGGAATTTTGAGACACACAGGATAATAGATAAAATTTCTTTTTTAATGGTGGAGTAATTTATTTGAGTTTGATTCCAAATACCAGAATGGAAACGAACAATTTGTTCAGAAGAATGAGGAGACTCTCTCTGAAGTAGAATACCACCATAACCAATGTTGGAGGCATCAGTTTGGATGATTTTGAATGAATCAATAGAGGGGATTCCAAGGCAAGGCAGAGTTTTGATATATTTTTTGACTTGCTGGACAATAGAAGTATGTTCAGGCGTCCAAGGAGTAGGATTGTCTTTGAGCCTGGAATAAAGAGGTTTGACAGTTTGCCTAAGATTCTGATAGAAGTCAGAGACATAATTAAGGGAACCTAAGAACCTCTGTAATTGAGTTTTGTCAAGGATCTCATCAGGGAATTTGTCAGCAAATAGGATAGCTCTACTAATGGGAACTATGGTAGACAGCTGAATATTATATCCTAAGAACCTAATACTTGTTTGGAACAGCTTAATCTTGCTAGCGGAAAGGACTAAACCATTATGTTTGGCAGTTTCTATGAAAGCATGAAGGTGTTTCCAATGTTCATCTATTGTTTTACTAAAGATGAGAATGTCATCAATGTAGACAATAGAACAATGAGATAAATTAGATAAAACATCATTCATAATATTTTGAAATTCACTTGGTGCATTTTTAAGACCAAAAGGAACAACATTCCATTCATAGTGTCCAAATGGTGTGGTAAATGCAGTTTTATATCTGTCTTTCTCAGTAATTTGTATTTGCCAGAAACCAGATTTTANCCTGCTTGTTCCCCCCGGCTTTTTGGAGGAAGAGGAGGGTTTATTAGTTTTGTTGTCCGCCATTGGGTTCCTGCAAAAATTCACGAGTTAGGAAATCAGGGATGCAGTTATTACTGCCCTTAATATATTCTATGTCAAAATCAAAAATACTCAAAATAGATTGCCATCTAGCGAAAATTTGCTTACTAGCAATATTTTGGACATCTTTTTGTAAAACATCTTTTGCAGATTTACAATCTACACGGATAANTTTTACAACATAGAAAGCAGGGCAAGACCAAGGAGATTTAGACTTCCTAATGATACTATTTTTAAGTAGGTCAGAAATTTCTTGTTTACAAATTTCTAAAACTTCATGGTTCATTTGGATGGGCCTGGATTTAGTAGGGATTTGTTTTTCATTAAATGATTTTATATAAGGAAGTTCTACTGTATGTTTTTTCCTATGCCAGAAGGCCGTAGGAAGCATAGAGCAAACTTCAGTTTCAAGTTTTTCTTTGAAACTTATTTATGAAGTACAGTAGAACTTGGTTGTATAAGTTTGAAATTCTACTGTATTTATGAAGTTCTACTGTACTTATATGAAGTTCTACTGTACTTGGTTGTGTATACTTATTAATAAGTTATTTATACTGAATAAGTATACACACACACACACACACACACACACACACACACACACACACACATATATATATATATATATATATATATATATATATATATATATATATATATATATTACCAAATACATATGAATTAATGTGCATTAAATACATATTTATATGTGTTAATAAACACACATAAATTAAGGTGCATTAAAGATAAAAGATTTTGAATTAAATGATCCTAAAATGAGCATTTATGTCTTTTTAACTCACATTTTGTTCTATGTACTTTTTGTCAAATAAGTCTAATTAGGTGTACCGACTTCCAAATAACCCTTCTTAAAATAGGTATGAATTAAATATATCAAGAATAAAATAGTCATTTATAAGATAAATAGTTGTTAATAATTATGATATATTCATAGATCCTACATGTATATATGTTGTATATCAAATATAAGTATACTAGTTATAACTCGTACCTGAAGGCACGATAAAATATAAAATTCAAACGTCCAAAAAATCATTCCCACTATTTTAAATTTTTTCAAAATATATTAACTACAAATTAATTAAATATTAAATGATTAAATACATGATAAAAATGAGTTGTGTGATATTTTTAGGGAAAAAATATATAAATAATTAAATATATGATAAAAATGAGTGATGTAATTTGACATTTGAGTCTAACAAATGGATGATGGATAAATTAAGTAATTGGTGATGATTTTGAGGAGAAAAATATGACTAGGATAAAATTCAAACACATTCCTGTTTTATTATATAGATATTTGATTTAATTTTTAATCTAATTTTATAAAGAGAAATTTGAGTTTAAAAGAATTTGAAAAAATCAATCCAAATCCTTCTTAAAGACCCATTCAAATAAGTCTCAAATGTCATATTTTGCTGAAGACGATTCACGAGAGAACACAATTCCCTGAATGTCATACTTTGCTGAAGGCAATTCACGAGAGAACACAATTCCCTTTGACTGTGATGTGAATGCCCGTGATCTCCTGCTAAAGTGATGGATTTATTCACACTTATACATTTTTGCTACGTATGATTAGACAGGGGCCGGATTCAAACCTAAAATTTTTGAGTCATTGTCTAATTGAGTACAGCGCAGGGCGACTCAAGAGTAAAACACATATCATTATAAAAGTGTATTAAAATATATATTATTAGACAAGTATATTAAAATAGAAATTATTATTATATTTTTTTTTTCTATAAACACACATCATCATACAAGTACACTAAAAATATAGATCGTCAAAAAAAATATACTAAAACACATATTGCTAATATACTTTCTTTTTTATAAACACAAATCGTCATTCAAAATTGATAGATATCACAACAAAAACTTCAATAACAAATAGAAAAAAATTTAACTATATTTTGTGCTAAAATCGTGTTACGAGAGTAACATAGATAATGAAAATTAGTAACAAACAAATTCCTTAACATTCCTGGCCTCGTAGGTACCGCATTCAAATTTTTTAAAAAACCAAAGGACTTATTTCATATTAGAAATTTGGTAGAATTAAAATTAGTTTACATAGCAAATGAGGGACTCTAACTTAATTAAATAAATTTTTTTATGGATCTAATTTTTTTTAATTTGGACTAACTATACATATAAAAATTTTGAGATTTTTTTTTTGAACATATGGCATAAAACTCGGGCTTTGTTGGCCTTATGATAAGGTCGGCTCTAGTACATGGATATCCATATGAACAAACAAAAATGTATTATCCGTGTGATAAGATAAATATGGATGATTTGTACAAAATAATAATCTAATCTCTCTATATTTTTTTGACAATTTTTTAGATAACTTATTTAAAAATAATTACCAAAAAATACATGAATTTAAATTTTTTTTATATTTTTATTTTCTACATCAGTCAAAAAAAAATAAAATGAAAATCTCATCCATGTAAACCAACAAAATTTTGGACCAGATTCTTTATTTATTATTAAATAATTACATAATAATTATAACCGTTACGCTGAATAATTACTCAGCGCCAACTCGTAAGCCGATAAACTGGTCTGGTCCAACTAAGATTCTTGATTAAATTTTCCACTGATGTAAACTCATTCATCCCTGTCTGTCGTCTCATGTGATCTGTTCCTCCCATCCCATGGAGCCCACATGAATTTTCCCCTCTTTTTTTTTTTTTTAATTGTTTTGGACCAGGTGCACATGGTATAATCCCAAAAGAAAAGCTGTGGTCCTGCCACGTGTCAGACATGCAAGGCATGACAACGTAGTCCTACTTGTCTTTTTGTTCAATGACATGTTACGTTTGTGTTATGGTGCTATAATCCGGAGATTTTAATGGAAAAGCATATAACGCATAACACACAAAGACCCACCAGTCCTTGGGCTGTGATCCCCATTCCATGGTTTTTCTTCCGAACTGTTGTAGCATACAGAAGTTTCAAAGCATTAATAAAAATAATAAATAAATTAAATATAATCAAAATTTCATAAAAAAATATCTAATTTTTTTTAATTTTTTTACCTAGCATAAATGGATTGTTGGAACATGATAATTTGAGTGAAAGAGCGCACACACACTTGGTCACCCCAAGCCTCCAAATAACCATCTTTATACACATTTCATGGATAAGAACACATAACACTGGTGAATAATATTAATTGACCCACAACTAACAGAGGCCCTTTCTACTTATTTTCATATGGACCCCACTTTTCATCCACCCACCAACCCCACGCAACCAACCAACTTATCCTACCCCACTTTTTAATTACATCAATAAATATCCACTACCCTGTTCCTTTTTAAAATAACCAAGGGTAAAAACGTAATTAACTTATAACCCATAAAAGTTTTTTTAACATTTATTGGAACTGAACCCAACAACCTTATTGGCCAAATCGTAACTGACACGTGTCCCTTGCTGCTGTACGTTACCGATGATAGACAGTGACCCTTTCGTCGGAGCAAAGGCGAGACAGAATGTCCCTGAGGAATCAACCGGTATCAGGTAATTCTTGGGGTGCAACGACAGCGTTTTACCGCTTCCGAATTGAAACGACACCGTTGGAACGCTGACTCTGCTCATCGACGACAAGTCATAACAGGTGTCGAACAAAGCAAACGAACTCGCACGCGGCAAGTCCGGCGTGTATTTCACGAACGAGTCACGGAGCGCGTCGTAGGCCTGAGTCTGTAACCGAGTTATGGACGTTCCCGAGTCAACTATTACCCCTCCTTTTCCACTCTGATCAACGGAGAAAACTTCCGCCGGAATTGACAGCAACTTGCCGCCGACACCGATTCCGGTGAGTCCGACGTAGAAATAAGTGTCGATTCGCGAGTTACGAAGCAGCGGAGCCAAGACCGAGTCACCGGGTGCTGCCGAGTTGAACTCAAGAGTCGATGAAGAGCTCGAATCACGGTTCACTAAACAGTAAGAAAACGACGTCGCTTTGATCTGAGAAGTTAAAGACAGTGAGCCGCCGCCGAGTCCCAGTAAGCCAGCCGCGCCGACGAATAAACCTTCGTTGTCATGACCACATCCAATTGCCACGTTCGGAACCGAGCCTGAGCTTCCAAACGAAACCGTTTCGGTAGCCAAGTCGCCGACGGTGAACGACCCGTCGCCGTACGAGACTTGATAAAGACACTTCTCGGCCCGACAGCCCGAAATATCGAGAGAGGAACACTGTTGAGACCCGCAAGACAGAGGTCTGTACGAGGACGACTGGGCCGGGTTAAAAATGGGGTCAGACTGTTGGTAGCAATCGGAGCAGGGCTCACATTGGAGCCAGTTGATGTCACTACCGGTGTCGATGACCAGGTAGAAAGGCTTGGCGGGTTGACCCACTCCGACTCGGGTGAAGTACTCGCCGCTTCCCTGAGTTACGCCTGAAGTGATCGGAGATTGAAGGTCTTCAGGCTGAAGTACGGTCTCGACCGGTAGGAGAGACGAGATGTTGAGTGGGCTAAGTGCAAGCTGGAGCTTGGTTGTGAGTGAGTTGACCCGGGCTGAATCGCGGGCGAGTCGGGAGAGAGTGAGAGATTTGTAGTCATTGTGGTGGGGTTTGATGAGAAAGGAACGTGGGTGGATTGTGAGAGAGAGTAAAGACGACGAAGTGGGTGTGGTTGTATTGAGTTCTTCTTCGTGTTGAGTTGGTTTGACAGATAAGACTTCAAGTGTTTGTTGAACGGAAGCTGAGATGTCGAGGACAGCGGTGGTGTGAGAATGGGAGCTTTCAGTTATGGTGCGAGAGAGAACGTAGGGAATGAAAAGAGAAAAAGTGAGGGTTAACTTGAAGAGAAGGTTGAAGTCCCCTTGGGCCATTTTTGTTGCAGAGAAGCTAGATAGAGGGAAATGAGTGACTTGGGTTTCTGTGAATTCAGCTTTATGTAGGAAAAGATTGGAGACAGAGGGAGGCTCACGTCAGGCTCGTTGGCAAAGAAAACAAAGCTTTAAAGTGAGATAGGAGCTTGGGATGAGACCGGTTGAAAAGTTTTTAGTGTATAATTAAGGAAAAGGAGAGCAAAGTACGTAACTGTAGTTCATGACGCGTGTTTGATTGTGGGTAATAAGAGTAGATGTAAAACGATCTTTACGAGGGGTTATTGTTTCGCAGGTGGGAGTATTTCTGTACATGGGATTCATAGTCTTTGAAAGAGAAATCTATTTCCAGTTTAGGAAACTTTGTTAGTGCACAGTTTAATCAATGTGCATCAATTTTCTATGGGTGGTTAGGACAATCAAGAACAAGTGTAGTTGTGCTGCAGTTAATATGTAGTGTGAGTTTTTATAATTATAACCGGGATGGGATAGTCCAGATCGAATTACATTGAGAAATGAGATTTTCCTAAAAAGGGTTCATGGGTTATACAATAAGCTTAATTTGACAGTGATGATGAACACTTATTCTATAGTTATCGAGTCAAAAAAATTGCGGAAATGGCATAGATCTTTATTATCGAAAAAGTCAAAGTTTTTGTGTCCAGTTATTAAGGTGGAAAAAAAAAAAATTAGAGTTTAGTGGACTTTGAAGTTGGGCAAAAATTTTAATTTTTACCAAACTTGACTTCACTCCTAGAACGAAGGGTTAAATGAGTTTTATTAACGTAAGTTTGATCCATTCTACATAAACTATATGGTGTGTCTGGCTCACCGGATATGGGGGAATTATATGGGAAATTGGGTTTAAAAAATCTTGGGCCCACATATTCTTTGTTTGGGTGTGAAAATTTGAGTAGGATAATTGTTGTCTTTCAAAATATCGGCAGTATCGATTGGACCCCATAATTCCTTACGAAGTGGACAAAATATAATTGATTCATTATTTTATGAAAATATCACCGTAATAGTAAGGGCTTGTTTGATAACGTTTATGATTTTTAATTTTTTAAAAAATAAAAAACAAAAACTAAAAACGTCTTTTTTTCGTTTTTGAAAATCGTCCCTCGTTTACAAATGATGACAGAAAAAAAATATAAAAACAGTTATCAAACGAGTTTTTTTTTTTTGTTTTCTCTAGATATCAAAATAAAAACAAAAAACGAAAAACATAAACGTTACCAAACAGGACCTAATTGATTAGTGATTTTACTTTTTTTGTCTACCATTTCATTTTACCCAACTACTATCTCCCGTCTCTCTCTCTGATAACAACGCATGGGGGAAGAAGAAGGAATGTTTCTCTCCCCCTCGCTGGCTCTCTCTTTACAAGCATTCTCTCTCTCTCTCTCTCTCTCTCTCTCTCTCTCTCACACACACACACACACACANAGTTCATGACGCGTGTTTGATTGTGGGTAATAAGAGTAGATGTAAAACGATCTTTACGAGGGGTTATTGTTTCGCAGGTGGGAGTATTTCTGTACATGGGATTCATAGTCTTTGAAAGAGAAATCTATTTCCAGTTTAGGAAACTTTGTTAGTGCACAGTTTAATCAATGTGCATCAATTTTCTATGGGTGGTTAGGACAATCAAGAACAAGTGTAGTTGTGCTGCAGTTAATATGTAGTGTGAGTTTTTATAATTATAACCGGGATGGGATAGTCCAGATCGAATTACATTGAGAAATGAGATTTTCCTAAAAAGGGTTCATGGGTTATACAATAAGCTTAATTTGACAGTGATGATGAACACTTATTCTATAGTTATCGAGTCAAAAAAATTGCGGAAATGGCATAGATCTTTATTATCGAAAAAGTCAAAGTTTTTGTGTCCAGTTATTAAGGTGGAAAAAAAAAAAATTAGAGTTTAGTGGACTTTGAAGTTGGGCAAAAATTTTAATTTTTACCAAACTTGACTTCACTCCTAGAACGAAGGGTTAAATGAGTTTTATTAACGTAAGTTTGATCCATTCTACATAAACTATATGGTGTGTCTGGCTCACCGGATATGGGGGAATTATATGGGAAATTGGGTTTAAAAAATCTTGGGCCCACATATTCTTTGTTTGGGTGTGAAAATTTGAGTAGGATAATTGTTGTCTTTCAAAATATCGGCAGTATCGATTGGACCCCATAATTCCTTACGAAGTGGACAAAATATAATTGATTCATTATTTTATGAAAATATCACCGTAATAGTAAGGGCTTGTTTGATAACGTTTATGATTTTTAATTTTTTAAAAAATAAAAAACAAAAACTAAAAACGTCTTTTTTTCGTTTTTGAAAATCGTCCCTCGTTTACAAATGATGACAGAAAAAAAATATAAAAACAGTTATCAAACGAGTTTTTTTTTTTTGTTTTCTCTAGATATCAAAATAAAAACAAAAAACGAAAAACATAAACGTTACCAAACAGGACCTAATTGATTAGTGATTTTACTTTTTTTGTCTACCATTTCATTTTACCCAACTACTATCTCCCGTCTCTCTCTCTGATAACAACGCATGGGGGAAGAAGAAGGAATGTTTCTCTCCCCCTCGCTGGCTCTCTCTTTACAAGCATTCTCTCTCTCTCTCTCTCTCTCTCTCTCTCTCTCTCACACACACACACACACACATTCTCTCTTTCTCTCTCTCTCTCTCTCTCTGTGCACCGCAGTGTCTTTCTCGAGCAACGACTTGGGTGGAAGATGATCGAACCCGGATGCTTGAATGAACTGTTTTTGAGGTAAGTGTTTTTAGAAAAACTTCACCTTTATATATATATTTTCTTTTTGGTGCTATCCCTAGATTGTCTTGGTTTATTTGTTTCAGTTGGGTGGGTGAATAATATTTTTGGATGTGGGGGTTTATTAGCTGAAGGAAGGGTTTTGCAGAAGTTAGGTAAGGTAGGGAGAGAGATTATGGTGTTGGGGTAGGGATTATTGCGTGTGTGGGGAAAGGGATTTTCAGAGAGGGCTTTGGTATGGAGTTGGCGAGATAGGAACACTTCGATCATCGAAACTGAGTTCGTTCTATCTCTTCCTCAGGCCACACATATCTCTCTCTCTCTAACACACACACATTTATTCCATTTTTCGGTTCACCAAAGATCCATTAGAAAACCACCCAGCTACATAGATCCCAACACATTATTACATGTACATGATTTTTTTTCCCATTTTTATCTTCTTGGATTTCAAATTTATCGTTTTGTTCAAGAATAGATGCCTTAAAAGAATGACCACATTGCTTGGATCTGGGTTTATTTCAGAATTAGGGTTCCTTCTTCTTATAATTTTGTTTCATTAGCATCTAAATTTTGCCTTTTTCTTGATCAAATTTATGTGTGTATGTATAAGTTTGTATTTTAACGTTTTAGTCAATATTTTTATATATAAGTCACTAAAACCATTGTGATACACTTTCTCAACTAATTCATTATCAAAATATATGATGTAGGCAAACAAGTTTGAGAAGGAACGTTGCGTCAAGAAATAGAGTGACAAGTTCGCATATATTTTTGAGTCATATGATGATTATTCTGTCTATGCTACATCTTTCATTCGGGCTTGGTGGTTGACCGCTATACTAGCCTAACTTGCTCTGGTCCCAAGAGGTATTCCAGGCACTGTTAGGGGCCTTATGATCTCACCGATGAGGGCCTATCAGGGTGGTCACTGGGCGTTCTTTCTTGCCCCCACCCCTTTTTTCTCAACAAAAAAATAAATAAATAAAGTTGTTGGTAAGAAGTTAATCCACTATGGTGTGTATTTTATATATTAAGTTTGATGTGGAGATTAGTTAATCTTTGTAGGCCAATTTTAGAATCTAAAACAAAGGTTTGGATTGGATATGTCTATGGGTAAAATAATAAAAATATACAAAAACAATGGCCTAGTCCATGGGTCCCACGAAATTGCAAAGTTGCTAACCAAACTATGGATTGGACATGATCATATATGTCCCATCCAATGCAAGTGATGAGTGGGTTTGGATTGGATATGGTAGGATATAAAATTGAAATCTTATCCAATCATTGCCAACTATCCAACACACCCCCTATATGTTAATTTAATTACAACCCCTTGTTTCAAAGGAACACCCTTTGATTCTAACGAGAAATTATCACCGTTCACTATTTACCTCACAAGAGATTAGAAATAATATTTTATTTATAGTGGCAGCTGGCCTTAGGTTAATTGTCTAGGTTGCCTATGTACCTGCTAAAGGGATCAAGTCGATTCATAGTTTGGGAAGGTTAAATTATTTTTGGAGGGTAAGATCAATGGGTAGGTGACCATTTGATTTTATGTGGGTGTAAAACTCATTTGATTTGCAAGAAAATGTTTGAAATTTGTTGGAAGTTGTGATTGCACCTAGTTTAACTAGATTGTCTACATATCCGAAAAAAAACTAAGTAGCGGTAGTTCTTATAAAAGGATTTATAAATTTAGAATTTAATTGGAATTGCGACTATGCCTGATGTAGTTGCAAGGCTGCCTATGTATCCAAAAGAAAATAGAATCAAGTCGGTCATAGTTCAAAAAAAGGATTTTACAATTGATTTAGAATTTATTTTAAGTTGATTTGGACTTACGACTGCGCCCAACGAAGATGTTGGATGACCTACATATCCATCAAAATAGAATCAAGTCAGACGTAATTTGAATAAAGAAATGATCTTAAATGAGTGCATGACTCACTTGATTAAAAAATGAATTTGAATTGGCTTTAAATGAGTGAATGACTTATTATCTTCGAACTTCATCCTACAAAAAAAATTGAATTGTGTAATTTTTTTTGTTTCACATAGGTTATGACTGAAGTTAAAATTAATTCCAGCGAGATCAATAACTTTTTGTAGAGGTAGAAATGATGGTTCACAAAATGTGTTTATGCACTACCAGTCAAGTATTTAATGTAGTAATTAAGGAGACTCAACACACGCAAACACAAATTA